AGTATCATACTGGCATAAAAACAGACACAAAGATCAACGGAACAGAATAGAGTCCAGAAATAAACCCACACATGTATGGTCAATTAATTTATGACAAAGGAGCCAAGAATTTACAACGGGGAAATGTATTCGGAAAAACCAGTCTTTCCCCATCCTATATCTTTCTCTCCTGTATAGGGAAACACCCAGTCCTTCCTCCTGTGTGTCTCCTTTACTACTCACATAGAACACTTCACTTCTGGTTACCAAATGTGCATGGGGTTTTCCCCACACCAAGCAATTCTCTGTGACACCAGCTGGGTGTCCTACAAGTCAACTCAATTCTGACACTATCCACCTGGAGATAGCATTAGATTCCACAGGCGAAGGGCTCAGTCCCACAAGACTGCCCCCCACCCCTTCAGATGCCAATTGCAAGGAGTAGGTCCCCAGGTTATTCACAACTTCTATCCAATTTGGCTAGAAACTGGAAGTTCCCATGACCCCCTCAAGTCTGATTAATTTGCTACAGTGGCTCACAGAATGAAGAAAACACTTATTAGTTTTACCAATTTATTAAAGGATATGATAAAGGATACAGATGAAGAGATACACAGGGCAAGGTCTGGGAGGGTACCGAGTGCAGGAACTTCTGTCCCCAGGGAGTTGTGGTGCATCATCCTCCCAATGTCGATATGTTCACCCACCTGGAAGCTCTCCAAACCCTATACTTTGGGGATTTTATGGAGGCTTTCTCAATAGGCAAGATCAATTATTAACTATTTCCAGCTCCTCTCTCCTCTCTAGAGAAGTGAGGAGCAGGGCTGAAAATCCAAGCTTCTAATCATGGCTTGGTGTTTCTGGTGACCAGCCCCTATCCAGAAGCCACTCAGGAGCCCATCCAGAGCTGCTTCATTAGAACAAAGGATGCTCCTAGCTCTCCTACCACTTAGGAAATTACAAGGGTTTTAGGAGCTCTGTGCCAGGAACCAGGGGTAGAGATCAATAGATACCTTTTCTATTATCTCACAGGAAAGGATTCTCTCACAGGAATGGGCAATAAATGGTGTTGGGAAAACTTGACAGCCACATGCGAAAGAATGGAATTGGACCACTATCTTACACCAGACACAAAAATTAACTCAAAATGGATTAAACACTTGAACATAAGACCTGAAACCATAAAACTCCTAGAAGAAAACACAGGGGGTAAGCTCCTTGACATCCTGTGCAATGATTTTTGCATTTGACACCAAAAGTAAAGGCAACAAAAGCAGAAATAAACAAGTGGGACTACATCAAACTAAAAAGCTTCTGCATAGCAAAGGAAACCATCAACAAAATGAGATGGCAAGTTACCAAATGGGAGAAATATTTGCAAATCATATATCTGATAAGGGGTTAATATCCAAAATATATAAAGAACTCATAGAACTCAATAGCAAAAAAACAATCTGATTAAAAAAGGGGCCAAGGATCTGAATAGACGTTTTTCCAAAGAAGACATATAGATGGCCAACAGGTACATGAAAAGGTGTTCAACATCACTAACCATCAGGGAAATGCAAATCAAAACCACAATGAGATATCACCTCACACCTGTCAGAATAGCTTTTAACAAAAGCACAAGAAATAACAAATGTTGGCGAGGATGTGGAGAAAATATAGAGCTTGTGTTCTCTCAGTGGCTTTCAAACGTGACATGCATCAGAAATTCACTGGAGGGCTGTTAAAACAGCTACTGATTCATTAAGTCTTGGGTGGGGCCCAAGAACTGGCATTTCTAAAGAGTTCCCAGATGATGCTGATGCTGCTGGTTCAGGGACCACACTTTGAAAACCACTGTTGCAGTGAAAGGAAGACAAATAATATACTCTAAACATCATAAATACGTAAAGTGTCTAGCATGTTAGAAACGCTCTAGAAAAAAAGAGAAAGCAGAACAAGATAAGAATAGTTGTATACAGAGCTGGTATTCTTATGTTTTATTTAAATAAAATATCCAATTTCCCATATAATAGTAACAACAGCTAATCACTCTTACTATTGCCAGCCAGTATTCTAAGGGCTTTACATATATTAACTCTTAATCCTCACAAAACTCCTCTGAAATACTATGATTTATCCCCATTTTGCAGGGGAAACTAGTTAGGTTAAAGTAAGTTGTTCAAGGTCACACAGCTACTAAAGAGGTGAATCTAGGATTTGAATCCAGGGAGTCTAGCTCTAGAATCCTTGCTGGTAAATATTACACTATACTGCCTCTCAATTCACATGATATCGTCTTCATAAATGTTGTTTTTAATGGCAGAAGAAGAAATATCTTGTTAGGCTAGAACTGACATACATTATGCTCTCAATTCTATAAGGACCCTTGAAGTTCTCATCCACAACCCAAACAAGCCTGCTTCTACTCTTATATTTCTTATGTTCATCAATTGACCAAGGGAGAAAATACAGACACCCTTGAATCTTTCTCCCTCCTTCTCCATGTCCAATCAGTCTGGTTAATTTCTGCCTCAGAATCACCTCTTGGATTTAGGATTCTCTAGATTCCCATGTTATCTAGATGACTCCCTCAAAGGCTCCTAACACGGTCCCCTGTATCCAGATTCTTGTGCTTCTCTTGCATCCTCTACTCAGCCACCAACATTCTCCTTCTAAAATAAACTCTGACCATATTAGTCAGCTTCTTAAAATCCTTTACTAATTCTCCATATCAAGTCCAAATGTCTTAATGTTACACTTAGGTACCTTCACAATCTGGCTGTGTCTTACTTTCCTCATCTACTGCTCTCCCACACATAGCCTAAGCTCCAGTCACAGCTATGAGCATTCAATTTCTATTCCTTTGTTGCCTCGTTCCATTTCCCCTCTGTCTGGCCAACTCGCATCCAATGCCTCACACTCAGTTCAAGGTTCTCCTTTCTGTGAAGCTTCCCTTTCTTCCCCTTTCTTTTTGCTCCCCCACGCCCAAGTTAACCTTTTTTTAATGGTCTCAAAATTATTTTAGGGCTCATCACACACTTTCTTGTAAATTTGCTCCCATTGAAGGCAAGAACTCTTGGAACTCCTCAGGGCCCAGAACAGTGAGTGACATGTAACAATTCTCAATAAATATTTATTGAAAAATGACTGAATTAAATTAAAGCACATAACCTAAATGCAAGGGCTGTATTATGTACATTATTCAGTGCCTAATAATTCACGATGGAAATTAAATCTCTGGAAAGCTTATGGAGTAGTCTCAGAACTAGGGAAAAAAAAGGATTCAGAGATGAGGCCCAGTGTGTTTGCTTAATAAAATTCAATTTATTCAACAAATATTTATTGAGCAGTATGAATAGGGAAATTGAAAGTTGCTGAAATTCTTATTATAACCTGGGAATATGTGTGTTTTACATTTACTTACCCATTAAACAACTAAGTCTGTTACCAGCAACTTGTGTTAGAGTATTTTGTACTTGGGTAGGAATTCACACCTTTTTGATCGTCCTCTTTGTACGAATGAGAAGGTTAGGTAGATGATGAAGGTGAATATAACTAATTCAGTTTTCTATTTTTCAAAATGGAATGCCCTTTTGCATTATTTAGCCTTATAGAAACGGACAGTGCAAAATTTAATTCAGCACCAGGCTGAAAAAACTGTCTCTTTTTCCACCTTGTAAATCAGATCTCATCACTCTCCTGCTCAATATCCTTTAATTCCATCCCATCGCATCTAGAAAAAGATATAAATCTTTCACCTTGGTCTACAAGGCCCCACACGATCTGGCCCTGCGAACCTCTCTCCAGCCTCATCTACTACCACTACCTGCTCAGTCCACTGCAAACACAAAGGCCTTCTTGCTCTTCCCAGGACATACCAAGCTCATTTCTGCGTAAGGACTTTTGCAGTGCTATTCTGTCCTCCTGACACTCACTTCTCCCAGAGTTTTGCATGATTTACTCCCCTCATTCAAGTCCCTGCTCAAATGCCGCCACCTCAAAGAGGCCTTTCACAGCCACCCTATTTAAAATTAGAGCTCCCCACCCCCAACTCTCTATTCCTTTGCCCTGCTTTATTTTCTTGTATTGCCCTCAATACTGCCTCTTAATATTTATATATTATCATTGACTCATTAGAACGGGGATTTGTAAATCTTTTCACTGTAATCTGAAATATTATCAGCATCCAGAACAGTGTCTGGCACACAGCAGCCTCTCCCAGTAAATATGTCAAACAAACGTATGAATTTCATTCTCACTGGAATCATTTAATTCATCTGACCTTGGGTAACTCACAGAACAAACACTCAAGCGCTTATCCTTAAGTAAAAACAATAAAACAAAGTCTTATCTGCCTTGACATCAAGATCTATTTTTCCGAGGCAAATAACTGTGGCAGGTCTTCCTATGGATTTCACTGCAAAACTCTAGCTTCTCCAGGCAAAGCTTGCAGCAACCTGTATTTTGAAATCAATTTCGAAAAGGGGCAGGAAATAGTCTAAACAGAAAGTTCATAAGAGGACCATAGCTAGACGCCACAATCCTGATTTTTAAGACCAACCCCCAAAATTGATATTTACCAACCCCCAAAGTTATGACTCCTCTGGGTTCTTAACCCTTTTGGTGCTACGGACCCTTTGCCAGTCTGGTGAAAACTACGGACCTCTCTTGAGAATAATGCTTTTAAGTGCATAAGACAAAATACAGAGAGCTACAAAAAAAACACAATTCTACTGAAATAGAGAACCGTAGATGTAAGGTTTCCTATGCTCTTCTTGCCACAGTGCAAATGAGACGAGAAAATTTTGAAAGCTACAGGAGGATTAAGAGGGAGAGTCCCAAGGAGATGACACTCCGGGGTCCATCCCTGAGCACCCTAAGTGGCAGCAGGGAGATCCTGGGCGCCAGGACCCAGCCAGCCCTAGGGGGCGTGTCTGAGGACGAAGAGCAGAGAAGAGGGCCGGGGTCGGGGACTCTTGCTACAAGGGCGCACGGAGCCGAGTTCCCCACGGCTGGGCCCGCCCCCGCCTCACCTGTCCCGGCAGTGCCCAGGAGCCGCACCGGCACCCCTCGTAGGTCTTCATGGAGGCCGCGGAAGATCTCGTGCAGTTTCTCGAAATGCTCCGAGGAGGTGGCGGAGGTGGCCATGGCGCAGGCCGCGCTCTAGCAGCGGCCGCCGAGATTCTGGGCACGGAGCCCGCTGCTACCTCGCGATCAGCCGCCCAGCGCCGCAGGCATCACGGCGACCGCCGCCACGGCCGCCCCGAACGAGGAGCTTCCGGGGCCGCGGCGGGGTCCTCCCGCGTCGGAACGCCCACTCCCTTCATTCCGTCACTGTGGGAGCGCCGGGCGCGAAAGCCTGACGGAAAGTCCGGCATGCTGCGCTGCCCAGGCGAGTCCTGAGGGGGCAGCGGCGCGCCGGCGGGAGCGACAGCCCCGGGGCCCCGGAAATACCCAGTCCGGGGTTGGGGAGAGCGCCGCAGCGGGAAGGACTGTGGGGACCAGCGGGACGGGCAGCGCGGCCGCCTCTCTTCAGGGCCCCGCCTTCTGGCGAGGGGGGGGGAACGCTGCAGTGCATGCCGGGGGCTGTAGTTCGTAGCGGAAGACGCTCCGACTCGGAGGTCACTGGTTGCCCGGGGCGGTGGCTCTGCCCGCGCAGCGCCCGCCGGGGATGACGGTGACGCACAGCGGTTTGGTATCAGTGTGCTTCTGGACGTTATCTTCCTCGTCGGCGCACTGTTTGGCCACCCTGACTTCCTCGGTTCACGTCCTGACTAATGTTAGCTTTCAGCCCTGGAAAGATAGCCGGGCCGGGTTCCCGCCTGCCCTCGAGCGGTGAAGCACTTTTACTGGGGAGGTCAAGTGACCAGGGTCACATGCTTTCAGAAGTGGTCGCCGGGCAGTGTGACCCCCAAAATACGCCCTCAGCCTCTAGCGGCCGGGCTCGCCTGGTGCATTTGTTCACGCAGCAGGTGTTTGTTAATGTTCAGCGTAGTCATTGTGCAGGGGTCTGGGCATGTGTTAGTGAAGAATAATATATAATATAATGTGGTGAGCAAGGCGGACCCCTTCGTCAGGTCTCTTTCCGCAAGTTGTAGTGTTAACAGTTACAAAGTCCTTACCTGCACTCCACGTTTTCATGGTTCAAGTGGCAGGAAATTCCTCATGTTTTGCCTATGGAACCGGTTCAGAAATGTTTGCTTGGCAACGGAATACTTAAAACTGCCCACACATATTAAAAGACACGACTGCTCAGGGGGAAATGATTTTGTGATTTATATCTCCTGGATCCTTATTTTTATTAGACTGAGTTCATTGACTATTGATTCAACAAACTTTTGTTGAGCTCCTAATATTTATTGAGCATAGAGAGACAGCAGAATCTGAGGTTGTTAGTGGCAGTGTATTGTGATATGTCCCATAGCATTGTGTTATAGAAGGGGCAGGTACAAAACGGAGAGAGAATAAATAGCCTGGGATGGAAAAAGTGACCTTACAAGATAAGTAGAAAATGGGTGAATGAATAATCAAATCACACAACCAAAATTAATGGTATTTGAATTGAGACTATACTGTGGCTGGACTCTGGGACAAATTATCCTCAGAATGAGAAATAACTGCGTAACTGTAATAATGAAAAATGTTTTCTTCTTTTGACTATAATTAATTGTTTTCTTCTGTTGACTCTAATTAAGCTTATGTTTAATTCTTACAGTTTTTATTCTGGTAAATAAAAACATGATAATCAAAAAATGTTTATTTATCATTGACAGTTCTATATAAATCAGGTAAAATATTAATTCAGTTATTCTACTGCACTATTAGCAAATTTTTCCATAAAATAACCATTTCTAAATATATAATTTAATGGTCAAAACAAGTTCAACAAAAGATTATTAATTTACAAATACACAAAGACTATGATCCTATAACTCTTTTCCCCACCAAAGTGAACATATAATTGTCAGTTCAACAAAATCACAAACTTGTATTAGAAAACCATACTCCCAACAAGTGATGGGCACATTACCAATTCCTCAGACATCCTTTGACAGCATTACTTTTGATAAAAGTTCTCCAAATATGATGTAGACTTTTAGAAAATAGACATTTTAATCTTATTAAGATAATGAAATGCCCTGAAAGATTAGTAAATTGACTGTAATTACCAATATCAGTCCTTAAGATAATTTTACTGACTAAAGAATTGGGTTTTTTTGTTTTATTTTTGTTTGTTTGGGGTTATTCTCTGCCACATTGGCTGACTGGTGCTTGTTAAGATAGTACCTTGTCAGTCTTACTAACTCAAGTGCTCATCCTCAGTTCTTCTATAGCTGGATATTACCATCTGTAGCTGGGGTTTCTCTTTTTAATCCTTAACTAAGCCCTTCAATGCATGCATTATCTTCCAGGATTCTTCTCTTTCTTGAACTTCTTCCCTGCTACCCATGTGCTTCTTGGTGGGTTAGTTACCAGCATGCACAGAGTCTGCTTCCCTTTGCAGCTCTATCCATTTGTATCCAAGTCTAGATGACACTGGTTTGCTCCATCGCTATCATTTACCTGCACTAGGGTCCAGTTTAATACTGTTCCCTGGTGGCTGTTTTGAATTTTGTGAAAATACTCCCAACTGCATAAATACAGAAAGATATACGCAGTGACAATCACCAGATAGCCTTTCCTTTCTTCTGGTTTTCTAAGAGAAGCTAAAGCATGAAGGAGGAGGCCTCCACGGGTCTGGGGTCAGTAACTGAAGTAGGTGGCCCAGCTTCCCATACTGCTCCTTTCATTAGCCCCTTGCTGGCCTGAGGAACAGCAGGAAAATGACAATTTAAATAGATTTTTATTTCTGCCTTCCCCCAAAACCCCACAAACTTCTTAGAAAAGGTAGCTCTTCTGTGGTCTAGGCATGGGAAAGTGTCTTAACAGCACTGGTTCTAGGTGGACAGAGATAAAGCCATGTCACAATCCAGATTCAGTTAAGAGTTTCCTGAAAGAATCTAGATGTTGGCATCATGATGGTTTTCTTAAGAGGTGAGGGGCAAGCCCTGCTCTTGGGCCAAGCCACTGTGACTCCTGGAGTTCAGCTGAGGCTGCAGTGTGGCTCTCTTGAAGTGAAGGTTGGTTGGTTGGGAAGAACTACATTGTGAACAGGGAGGGTAGAAACTAGTTCAATTTGCCATAAAGCAGCCCTGCCATAGCTTAAGTTCTCCTAGGTAGTAGATTTCAGAAGGAGAATATGAGCTTTCAGGTCATATGAGGGTGTACTTACCCTATGATATCTTTAGTAACTCTGGTAGTAACAGTAGCAAAGTAAACCTGGACAAATGCAAGGTGTTTAGATGAATCTGGCAGTGTACCCTGGACTTTCATCAGACATCAAGCAGGAAAGGCTGGAAGGTTTTCTCTCTTTGTGCTCAAGGTTTTGGCCATCCTGAAGGAGAAACATTCTGGCAGGGAGTACTGAGTAGTCTGCTGCATGCTGCTCTTGGGTCCAACTGCCACCACCTGTCAATCCCTAGTGATGCCCAGCAGGTCACAGCTGACGTCCCATAGCCGCCTTGCTATTGTCTCATTACGAGCCTTGGCAGAGACCCATGCCACATTGCACTCACTGGAAGGGAAAGAGAGAGGCTTAAAGCACAGGGTTGAGAAGTCTGCTCTCTGCCTGGGATAAGGAATAAGACAGAAAAATGACCCAGGGATGACATGACCTTTAGGTGCTTCACAGGGCCAGTGTTTGTCCTCTCTCTTCATTCTCCAATCTTTACTCCAGAGAAAATGTAATTACCATTTTAGATCTCACTAGACCACCTCTGATCACAATGCTTTGTTTGATATATAATGCATATCATTTAGTCTTTATATTCTCCTTTGTATGTATATATTTAACTATAATATCAGTGCCAGCCTGACACCTGTGTTTGACCATCTTGTTCAAATAGGTTTCTGGGGTCCATTCTAGAGGACCTTGTATAGTGTCATGTGGCTGAGATCTTGCTATTTACATTGGTCACAGATGCTTGGAGTGGTAAAAAAAAAAAAAAAAAAGCTACTTATTTCTGGTCTACCTGAAGTTATAACTATTTTAAAACTTGAATAAAAAGTAAACCCAGCTTCATAAACAACAAAAGAAGGAAAAGATGAGAGCAGAGAAGAAATGGTAACAATAAGGTACCAGGTATTTCATACACCTTCTCTTCATTGCTATAATTCTAATTATTTTTAGACCCCATTACATGCAGGAGAGGTATTCCAACTCTGCATCGCACAGAAAATTTTCTCAAGGATAATTCTTTTACTCCTTTTTGTATTCTCTGCATTTGGTACACAGTAGGTATTCAATTAAGGGGTTTTTTTTTTGGTGAGGAAGATGAGCCCTGAGCTAACATCCATGCCAATTCTCCTCTTTTTTGCTGAGAAAGACTGGCCCTGAGCTAATATCTGTGCCCATCATCCTCCACTTTATATGGGAGGCCGCCACAGCATGGCCTGACAAATGGTGCATTGGTGTGCGCCCGGGATCCAAACCCGGGCCGCCAGCAGCACAGCGCGCGCACTTAGCTGCTACGCCACGGGGCCGGACCTGGCTTTTTTTTTCTCTAAATGACTGAATAAATAGATCACAATCTTTGAAATCATGTGAGAAGCAATTTTAAAAACTATACTATTTCAAGAAAACTGCTTCCTGGACATTCCAAGCAAATTCTGAAGGTGAAAAGGAGAGCTGGTACATCTGAAATAACCACATGAAGCAAACTCCTAATACCATGTCTATTAAGACAGTGCTACTCAAAGTGCAGGCTGTGGACCAGCAGCAGGAGCATCATCTGGGAACTTGTTAGAAATGCCAGTTCTCAGGCCCCACCCCAGACCTGCTGAATCAGAATCTCTGCAGTTGGGGCCCAGGAATCTATTTGCAACGAGTTCTCCAGATTGTTCATAAACATACAAAAGTTTGAGAAAAACCACTTAAAGATACCTTTGTATTTAAAAAACAAGCCTTATAAGTTTAGTACTTCTATTTAAGGCAACTCACCAGCACAACCAGCACAACATACCATTTCTGAGTGAAAAGACCATCAGTGAGAACCAAAAGGCTCTGTATGACTCTCTGGAAATGAGTTGGCCTCTGTAAGCTTCTTCAGCCTCCACTGCACTATGCCTTACACTCTTCGTAGGTTTATGGTGAAGAGCGAATGACACAATGGACATGAAAGTGCCTTGTAAGCTATGACGTGCTGTAAAAATTATTCAAATACTACAGTAAAAGCTTTAAGTATGGTTATGGCATCGGCACAGTCACAGGCTGATATTTCCAGTGGGATTTTGGTAGGTATTAATCAGTAGGGGTAAAAGATTGTCTGACCAATTTCAAAACTTTCTACAAAGACACAGTAATCAAGACAGTGTGGTACTGGCATAAGTATGGACATATAAATGAATAAACGGAATTAAAAGTACAGAAGTAAACACTTACATTTATGGTCAATTGTTTTTTGATAATGCTACTATTATGGACTGATTTGTGTCCCCCAAAATCCATATGCTGAAGCTCTAACCCCCAATGTGACTATATTTGGAGAAAGGGCCTTTAAGGAGGTATTTCAGGTTAAATGAGGTCCTAGGGTGGGGCCCTAATCCAATAGGACTAGTGTCCTTATAGTAAGAGGAGGAGACACCAGGAGTGTACGTGCACAGAGGAAAGGCCACAGGAGGACACAGCAAGAAGGCAGCTGTCTGCAAGACAGGAAGAGAGGCATCACCAGAAACCAACCTTGCTGGCACCTTGATCTTGAACTTCCAGCCTCCAGCACTGTGAGAAAATAAATTTCTGTTCTTTAAGCCACCCAGACTGTAGTATTCTGTTATGGCAGCCCGAGCTGGACTAATATAGCTACTAAGACAATTCAATGGGGGAAAGAATAATCTTTTCAACAAAGCGTTCTTGGACAATTGGATATCCACATGCAAAAGAATGAAGTTGGACCCCTACATCATACCATATACAAAAATTAGCAAAAATGGATGATAGACCTAAAAATAATGCTCAAACTATAAAACTGTTAGAAGAAAACAGTAATATATCTTTTTGACCTTGGGTTAGGCAATGGTTTCTTAGCTATGGCACCAAAAGCACAAGTGGCAAAAGAAAAAAATTGATAAATTAGACTTCATCAAAATTAAAAATTTTTATGCTTTAAAGGATACCATGAAGAAAGTGAAAAGACAAACCAATAGAATGGGAGAAAATATTTGCAAATCATCTATCTGATAAGAGACTTGTGTCTAGACTATATAAAGAACTATTACAACTAAACAATAAAAAGACAATAATCCAATTTAAAAATGGGCAAAGGGGCCGGCCCCGTGGCTTAGCGGTTAAGTGCGCGCGCTCAGCCGCTGGCAGCCCGGGTTCGGATCCCAGGCGTGCACCGATGTACCGCTTCTCCGGCCATGCTGAGGCCGCGTCCCACATACAGCAACTAGAAGGATATGCAGCTATGACATACAACTATCTACTGGGGCTTTGGGGGAAAAAATAAATAAATAAATAAAATTATAAAAAAAAAAATGGGCAAAGGATTTGAATAGACATTTCTCCAACAAAGATATACAAATGGACAATAAGCACATGAAAAGATGCTCAACATCATTAGCAGGAAAATGCAAATAACAACTGCAATGAGATACTACTTGATACTAGGATAGCTAAAATCAAAAGGACAGATGATAACAAGTGTTAGCAAGGATGTAGAGAAATTGGAACCCTGATATACTGCTTGTAACAATGTAAAATGGTGTAGCCACTTTGGAAAACAGTCTGGTTGTTCCTCAACAATTAAATATAAAGTTAACATATGACTCATAGTCCAGTGGAATTCCACTTCTAGGTACATAGTCAAGAGAAATGTCCATACAAAATTTGTACATGAAAGTTCATAGCAGCATCATTCAAAAAACCAAAAAGTGGAAACAATCCAAATGCCCATCGACTGAAGAATGGATAAATAAATGTGGTATATCCATAAAATGAGATATTTTTTGACAATAAAAAGGAATGAAGTACTGAAACATGCTTTGGCATGGATGAACCTTCAGGACGTGCTAAGTGAAAGAAGCCAGTCACAAAAGGCCACATATATATGATTCCATGCATATGAAACGTCCAGTACAGACAAATCCATAGAGAGAAAAAGTAGATTAGTGGTCAGGCAGAAAGAACAACCAGCGCACGTGCTAAGGCTTCAATCAAGACAGACTTATTATTATTTTTTGTGTGTGTGAGGAAGATCAGCCCTGAGCTAACATCTGATGCCAATCCTCCTCTTTTTGCTGAGGAAGCCTGGCCCTGGGCTAACATCCATGCCCATCTTCCTCTACTTTATACGGGACGCCGCCACAGCATGGCTTGACGAGCGGTGCATTGGTGCACGCCCGGGGTTCCAAACCTGCGAACCCCAGGCCACAGAAGCAGAATGCATGCACTCAACTGCTACGCCACCTGGCCAGCCCCAAGACAGACTTTTTTTTTACTTTCATTTCTTGATAGTGGTCTACATGGCTGTTGCTGGATCTTCAAAATGCTTAAAACTGAGAATCCATGGCACTGGAAAGGCTTTTCAAAAGTCAATTTAATAATCATAGATTTGAGGCTGACTTTCTTTAAACCACTCAGTCAAAACCAAGAAACGGTTCTTTCCCTCTCTCTCTCTCTTTTTTTTTTTTTGCTGAGGAAGATTGGCCCCGAGCTAACATCTGTTGCCAATCTTCCTCTTTTTGGTTGAGGAAGACTGTCCCTGAGCTAACATCTGTGCCAATCTTCCTCTATTTTGTATGTGGGACGCGCCACAGCATGGCTTCATGAGCGGTGTGTAGGTCCGCCCCTGGGACCCGAACCCGTGAACCCCAGGCCGCCAAAGCAGAGCACGAAAATTAATCACTACGCCAGCAGGCCGGTAAAGGGCATTTCTTTTCTAAAATCTCCAAGGAAGAAGAATCCAGTCACTCTTGGAAAATCACTCCAGCATACAAAACTAAATAATCTATCTTCCGGAACTCAAGACCCACATTTCCAACCATCTCCTATACATTTCTACTCACATGTCTTATGGATGACACACTCAACATGTACAGAGCCAGGTGTATTACATAGTGGGCAATTGTTACTCTTTGGTTGAACATCCATTCCACATTCTTTTGGCAATAGCAACCTGATTTCTTTCTGTGGAAGTACCTCTTCCCTTCGGATATAATTTGAAGAACCCATTAATCAAGTGCCTGCCTGTCCTCCTCTAGCCAAGGGAGTAGGGGTGAGGGGATGAAAAGCAGAGATCGTGGGGAGGAGGGAGATCCAATGCTTCCTCCCTGCAGAGTGGCTGGTGAGCAACAAAACAGACTGAAGACAGCTGGTGTTCACTCGCTCCAGCAGCACTGCCCCAGCCAGCCAACTGGCCACTCTGACTGTTCTAAGCCCGCCTCTTCAGTCTTCCCTTTTGACCTACGAGTGCCCTCATATTTTCATAAATTTCCTTCTTGCATAAGTTAGCCAGAGTCCATTTCTGCTGCTTTGGAATCAAAGACCCTAAGTTATACACATTATTTTTCCATGTCTGTTGTCTCAGTTAATGTCACCATCAATCTCCCAATAACTCAGGCTTGAACCCTGGTCACCAAATTCTCCCCAAACCCCTCACTCAACTGGTCATCAAGTGGTAAAAATTCTGCCTCTTCAGGGCCTCTCTCACTTAACCATTCTTTTCATTCCAATTGTCATTATCCTAAATCAGGAACTCATGCTCTCTCACTTGGGGTATTTATTCATTCATTAAACAAAGTCACCAAGGATGTTCTTCTAAAGCTCAGACCAGATTATGTCTCTTTCTATTGAAACAACTTCTGTGGCTCCTCTCTAAGTCTGGCATTACAGCCTTTCATGATCTGACTGTCTATCTTTCGTTGCAATCTTAATTTATTACAGCTCTTTCTCTAAAATTTCATGTTATTTCCAAAAAATCTTGAAGGTGGAGGTAAAATCATGTTAAATTTTTGATCTTATGTGATATCTGTGATTTGCTTCAAAATAATATGGAATGAGAAAAATATGGGAAAGCATAGTGAATAGGGGTGAGGCAGGACTGGCCATGAGTTAATGGTTGTTGAGGCTGGATTATGGGTATATGAGGACTCAACATGCTATTTTGTCTATTCCTGTGTAAACTTAAAATTCTCTACAATATATAGTTTTAAAAGTCTTCATGTATTCGAGAAGGAAGTCTATTGATACTATTTCAGTCCTGAAGGCAATAGAGAAATATGATTCTAAATCTTTTTCTTTTGCTTGAGGAAGATTCGCCCTGAGCTAACATCTGTGCCAACCTTCCTCTAGTCTTTACGTGGGTCACCGCCACAGCATGGCTTGATGAGTGGTGTAGGTCTGCGCCCAGGATCCAAACCCGCGAACCCAGGCTGCCAAAGCAGAGCGTGTGGAGCTTTAACCACTCGGCCATGGGGCCAGCTCCTCAAAATCTTTTTAATGTAAAAAAATAGAACTAGGAGTCCAAAAAGGAAGAAAGACAACTGGACTAACATAAAAAAATGTAGGAAGAAAAGAAACAGCTAGAAAGCATAATCATCAGTATAAAAGATGGCATGAATAAAATCTAGCAGTTACCACAAAAAAATGTGAATGGGCCAGAGTCCCCTATTAAAAGATAAAAACCCTAGAGTCAAAAGACAAAAGCTGTGTTGGACAACGTATTTTTTTTTTTTTTTTTTTGTGAGGAGGACTAGCCCTGAGCTAACATCCAATGCCAATCCTCCCCTTTTTTCTTGAGGAAGACTGGCCCTGGGCTAACATCCGTGCCCATCCTCCTCTACTTTATACAGGATGCCGCCACAGCATGGCTTAGCAAGCAGTACGTGGGTGCGCGCCCAGGATCTGAACCTGCAATCCCTGGGTAGCTGCAGCAGAGTGCGCGCATTTAACCACTGTGCCACAGCGCTGGCCTCAGCAATGTACTTTTTAAAAAGGGTATGGCATACCAGACAAATGCAAATTATTTCCTTTGGGCAATAAAATTCCATCTTCAAAAATAGATACATTCATACCTGAAATGATTCCCACTTAGAATCTCAAGACCTTCTGTTAATGCACAGTATAGGCTGGTCTGGGCTCCCTGCTGAGGAGTCTTGATGAAAAAGGAGAAAAGCCACCATATCCATCTCATGACAGATGAGTGCCGAACCAATTCAGAGTCGACTGTGCCGGGGTGTACAGAATATGTCGTAACGCCAGAGCCTGATGGGGGTGCCATACAGAGAGGAGAAGACAGGAGGTGATGTTGCTGAATGGCCAAAGAGTGCAGAGGATGTGATTAATCATTGACCCCATATGGACTTCCTTCCCACGGTGGTATCAAAGCACTCCTCACAGTAATTCATACCTCCATTTCACAGATTAAGATTAAGGCTCAGAGAGGCTGTTAATTGTTAGGAAGCAGCAGAGCCAGGACCTGACCTCTTAGCAGCACTTAACATTTTTGACCACTCTCTTCTTGTTTTTTTTGTGTGTGAGGAAGATTAGCCCTGAGCTAACATCCAGTGCCAATCCTCCTCTTTTTGCTGAGGAAGATTGGCCCTGGGCTAACATCCATGCCCATCCTCCTCTACTTTATGTGGGATGCCGCCACAGCATGGTTTGCGGTGCGTCAGTGTGCGCCCGGGATCTGAACCGGTGAACCCCGGGCCACCGCAGCAGAGCGCGCACACTTAACCGCTTACGCCACCGGGCCGGCCCCTCTACCCAAACTTTAAATGTTGGAGTTCTCAGGGCTCACTAAACTCCCTCTCTATAACTTTATAGCATTCACATTTTTATCTATGGTCCAAACCACTCCTTTGAACTCTTGGCTGACTATGAGACACAGTATAATGTGGTCATGAAGGGCATGGACTTTGTAGTCAGACTGCCCAGTTTCAAATCCCAGCTCTACCACTCATTAGCTGTGTGACCTTGGGCAAGCTCCTACTGTTGTGACTCAGTTTCCTCATCTGTAAAATGGGGATAATCATAATACTTGCACCTCACAGGGTTGTTCTGAGGATTAACTGAGTTCATACGTAAAAGAGCTTAGAATAGTGTCTGGTGCATGGGAAGTGCTAAATGACACTTATGCATGTGCTATTTCAGTTCCCCAGTTCTTTACCAGAAACCTTGGGGCCAGATATGTTTACAAGTTTTTTTCTGATTTTGTAAAGGTAATACTTTAGATATACTACTACCTATTCTTCTAGTACAGGTGAGGTTTTGCTGCCAAATCAGTTTTGGTGTTAAGCTTATGAAAAACATGAGTTTTCAGGCCTTTTCGGATTTCAAAACTGCAGAAAAAGGACTGGGGACCTGTATTACTTTCAATTTGATGGCTATTCTTTTTTTTTTTTTTTTTGGTGAGGAAGATAGGCCCTGGGCTAACATCTGTTGCCAATTTTCCTCTTTTTGCTTAAGGAAGATTGTTGCTGAGCAACATCTGTGCCAATCTTCCTCTATTTTGTATGTGGGACGCCACCACAGCATGGCTTGATGAGTGGTGTGTAGCTCTGCACCCAGGATCCAAACCCACGAACCCCGGGCCACCCAAGTGGAGCGCACAAACCCAACCACTATGCCACTGGGCCGCCCCCTTGACATCTACTCTAAATGACCCATAGTAATGCAGACTCAGAGGTCCAAAACTGACTTCATGCTTTTAAGGCCAAACCTGGTTCTTGCAGTGTTTCCTATACTCCCAACCAGGGAGTATAAGCAGGCACGTGGGAGCAATTCTTAAAGATTCCCCACCTCACCTTGCATATCCAATTAACAAGCCCTGTGGTTTTCCCATCCTAAATACCTCTCAGGAATGTCTACTACCCTCCATCTCCACCACCCTAGTCCAAGTTACCCTCATTTCTCACCTTGACCACAGAAATCGCCTGCTGCATCCACTCCTGCCTCCATTAAAAAAAGGCTTTCATTTTAAAGCTTTGCCATTGCTCTTAGAATAAACACTAAAATCCTTACTGTGGCCTTTAAAGATTTCACCTATACCCCGCCAATTTCAGCTCAGACCTCAATTCTTCTTACTTTCTACATTCTAACATAATAGCCTTCTGTTTCTCAAACTGAGCCCAGACCTTTGTTCATTCTCTTCCTTCTGCCTGGAACATTCCTCAGCTGCCTCACCCCACCCACAGTGTAACCCATTTAATTTCTAATCATCGTGCAAGGGCTCAGCTTGCAACTCGCTTTCTCAGAAAAGTTCTCAGGATCTTCCCTGATCCCTCGGACTGAATAAGATCCCCTCTCAAATCCATTAGAGGTCCTTGTACTTCCCCTTTCTAGCATTTATCACAATTATAATTAAACAACAACAAAAAGGAAACAATCTAGATGTTGTTAAGGAAATGGATAAATAAACTAAGGCACATCTGTATTATGAAATACAATGCAACCAACAAAAGGAGTGGGGTGAATCGCTATGTACTACATGGAAAGATCTCCAGGACACTGTGTTGGAATTTCAGTCCCTAATGTAAGATATGTACATATGTAAATGCATAAGAAAAGGACAGCAGAGGGTCATATCAAGTTGCTGATGGTGACTTCTTGAGGGGAGAAAAGTAGGAGGTGGAGAGGGGGGAAGAAGTGAAGGGGGTTTTTCACCTTTAACTCTACATACTTCCACATTATTTGAACTTTTTTGCGTGTGTGTGAGGAAGATCAGCCCTGAGCTAACATCCGTTGCCAATCCTCCTCTTTTTGCTGAGGAAGATTGGCCCTGGGCTAACATCTGTGCCCATCTTCCTCTACTTTACATGGGATGCCACCACAGCATGGCTTGACAATCAGTGCGTCAGTGCATGCTCGGGATCCAAACCTGTGAACCCCGGGCCGCCAAAGCGGAGCGTGAGCTTTTAACTGCTATGCCACCCAGCCGGCCTCTATTTGAACTTTTTACAACGAGAATTATTCACACATTAGCAGACTGATTTTACATGTGAAAGTTGCATAACTACTTGTTAATTGTCTCTTTCCTCCATTGGATGTAAACCAAATCAAGGAAGAGACAGTACCTGTTTTGTGACCACTCTATCCCCAAGCCCCTTACCCAGGGCACAGAAAAGCACTGAATACATGTCAGTTGAAAGGGTGAATGAATGACTCTTCTGTCATGCCCAGGTTCCTTTCATTGCACCACAGCTATTTCCCACCTAATCCTCACATCTATCAGGCTTCCTCACTCGTGTATCCTCTGCTTTTATCTGGGCCTCACAGCTGGGCCCATCTCTCCACCTCCAGGCCCCCCTAGCTCCCTGACCAACCCGTTGGGTAGTTCTCACCATCCAGTTACCCTGATCCATCCTGAGCTGATAAAGGATGTCAAGCCCTAGGCACAGACTGGGCATAGGAACTGAGCTGACCACCAGCTTCCTTCTTCCCCATCTCACAGCTGTCCATGTGGTTTGATGATTCTGTTCCAACAACAGGGCTCCTGTGTCTGATTCCTTGAGCCTGAATTCTGCCTGCCTCAACTCCTAAGCAACTCCAATTGTCCGCCTTGGATTTCCTTTGTCTTTATTGGAAATCCAGAGTACACAGTGCTAAGACCTCTGTTTATTTGTGACTGGAGACTCCCCTCCTCAAGGATACATTTCCCGCTATTTGACCCTTTGCTGTTAGGGAGACCGTCCCCACCATAGTCCAAGCACCTGTTATATCTAGTTGTATCTAGTGCCAGTTCAGGTCACTCCCTCCTACCTAGTCTCACTATGAGTATAAAACCATGACTTGCTCATGAGGCCTGAATGAACTAGGACAATAACCTGTGAAGTAGTCCTATTTTACATATGAGGAAATAAGTCTTGAAAAGTTAAGTAATGTGCTATAGGTCACACAGCCAGTAAGTGGTAAAGCCAAGCCTTCACACTCAAAGTCAGAATCTCACCGTCTCCTGCCAGTCACCTCCAATATTCAGTTGTGGGCTGCTTATGAAAACTATACCCAATTATAGTCATAGAAGAAGGTCCGGTCCAGGGGAGAGGCTCTATTCCTGTGGATTTTAGCTACTTCCCACTGACTCATGTCTCCATATTCATTTCTTCTAAGCTTACCTTTTAGCCTCCGGGCCAGCTCCCGAGTGAAGAGAATGTTGGCTAATTTGCTGTGACAATAGGCCAGACCTGCACTGTAGAATTTCTCACCCTGCAGGTTATGGAAATGGATCCTTCCCAGGTGATGTGCTAAGGAAGACACATTCACTACCCTTGATGGGGCAGATTCCTTCAGCTTCTCTATTAGCAGATGGGTCAGGAGGAAGTGACCTAGGAGAAAAACTAGGATTAACAGGGTTCAGGACCAACGCAAGGGTGAAGAGAGTCGTCGTGGCAGGGCTCAGCTGTGGGAGGCAGAGAATGCAGGAATAAGACTTTTGGCCTCATTAATTCATTATCAACGACAGAACAATTCAGTGAGCGCTGAGGGAATGAGGAACAGCCAAAGACATGAGACATCTTTCTATGAAGTAGGTCTGGAGTATGTGCAGTCCCATCTATTCCAATTTTGATTAATATCACTCTTAAAGAGCACACAGCCTCTGTCTGATGCTGGCCACAAGGACCACTACAAAGAAAGCAACACAGCCCCCAATCCAAACAGGCCGTTCAAAAATGCCTCAAGGTAAATTGAATCTAAAAAAAAAACACAGAATCTGGAGCACAGATTAAAAAGTGGGTGGAACCTCAGGCGGGCTTTAGGTTTATTCCTCACCTTTCAGGCAGGACCATTCTATTCATTATCTACTTATGGTCTATTATGGCCCAGAGGTCCAATCACACAACAAAGAAGACTCAATCTGACCCCTAAGTTTCCAAGGAGAACTTTAGGTTCCCTCTAGCTTCATGATGAGGCCAGATTCCTTACCCAAGTGGTTGACTCCCATGTGCATCTCAAAGCCGTCCGCTGTCTTGGAGTAGGGACACATCATCACTCCCGCATTGTTGACCAAAATGTGGAGATGCTTTTCCTCTGCAGGGAAGAGGAGACACAGTGTGGGAGTGGCCAGCAACAGCTGTTACATCTTAGAAATCTGCCTCACGCCCAGGCTTTGAAAATGTGGATGCAGGACTTCCATCTTTCCTGTTTTCCCTTCATACTTTTTTTTGTACCGTTTTTCATTGCAAGACTTTAGTTGAATCCTACATACTTTCACAACAGGGCAAAATTCCATCTTATCCTACCAAACGGCCTTTCCAACCTTTCCAATTCAGGAGCTACTTACTCACTGCTCCTGGGAAGTGTTCTATCCATCTCTTCCAGTAAAAAGACTTCCCAAGCTGAATGGGAAGATTCCAAAGCACGAGAAGAGAGGATGTTCTGTATGCACCTCTGCCACTGGGAGACAGGCCCCAAAAGAAATACTAGTGTTACCTCTTTCTTGCATCTGCCAACTTTCTCTCAGGGTTTATTTTCTCATGTAGTTTGTAATTTCTGACTATGAGCTCATATCAGTGGAAGCTGTTTTCCTTAGGAGGCCTAGATCCCTGGGTTATGAGGGGATATGCTTACAGAGTGTTCTTGGATTTGCTTTTCATGTGATACTATAGGGGTTGATGTTAATTTCTCAGCTCAAGATTCTTGCACCATTTGGTGGTGTGAATGAATTCCCCCCATAGACGATGCCAGCTTGAGGTTCTCATTTCTTGCAGATGATCCATCCATGTCCTAAGGAGATGATAAACTTCTTTTTCATGGCCCTGAGCTGGTGGCCTGGGTTTTTTTAAGCCCCTATACCATGGACCAGATGGCCTTTTGTGAATCTCAACCTTATGTGGAGCCTCAGATATAGCTCCCCAGCTCTCAAGGGCCTGAGGCCTCATCTCCTATCCCTGTATGGGTATTTAGACCCCAGACCCTAAAGTCTACATTGAGTTCTGATACTCCCGTGAGATTTCTGGCTTTAGTTCTTACAGACTGCTATGACTTTTTGAATTCACTTTTTGTTTCTGCCTCTTGAGTATGTCCCTTTGTTACTAATGTGTTCAGCTATGAATCAAAAGTTTTGGGTTATATTTTATCTAGTATTTCTATGTATTAGAGAGGGAGTGGGATCTTTTCCTTTTAGGTTAAGTCTGCCATGTTGATTGCAAGACCTACAACAATCTCTGGTTCTACACTTACCTGCTAAGAAGTCCTTAGCAAAGGCTCGAATAGATTTAGTATCAGCCAAATCCAGTTTCCTCACCAACACCTGTTGGTTCCCTGTCACGGTCTGGATCTCTCTGGCCACCAGTTCGCCCTTTTGCACATCCCGGCAAGCTAAATATACACGGGCTCCTGTCAGCCAACATATAAAAGAGACAAACTGTCAGCTGTTTTTGAGTGGGCATTATAGACCTAATATTGATGTTGAATGTTATCTTCCACTGTTTTTTGTTTTTTGGTGAGGAAGATTGTCCCTGAGCTAACATCTGTTCCAATCTTCTTCCATTTTGTATATGGGATGCCACCACAGCATGGCTTGAGGAGTGGTGTGTAGGTCCGTGCCCAGGATCCGAACCCACCAACTCTGGGCTGCCAAACCGGAGCGCACAAACTTAACCACTACCCCACCGGGCCAGCCTCTTCTACTGTTTTTTTTTTAAAAAAAGAATTTTAGGGCTGGCCCCGTGGCTTAGCGGTTAAGTGCGTACGCTCCGCTGCTGGCGGCCCGGGATCGATCCCGGGCGCGCACTGACGCACCGCTTCTCCGGCCACGCTGAGGCCACGTCTCACATACAGCAACTAGAAGAATGTGCAGCTATGACATAAAACTATCTACTGGGGCTTTGGGGGGGAAAAATAAATAAATAAAATTATAAAAAAAAAAAAAAGAATTTTATCCCTACTTCACAACAGAGATATCTAATGAGCAAATCAGGAAAGAAAAATAAATCAATAATATTCATTAAGTGTCTATTATATGCAGAGCATTGTACGAGGTACAGACCAGCAAATCAGTGGGGCACTTAGAATGTTCTTGAATTCCAAGATTGGAAGGAAATAATGAGAACGGTCATCACTGTGAGGGGTAAAATGACAACAGCAGGAGGGAATTAGAAGCATGTGTACTTGCCTCTTTGAGCCAGCTCTTTGGCTGTCTCCTTCCCAATGCCCGTGTTGGCTCCAGTGACCACAGCTACCTTCCCGGGAAGCTGGATGGTTGATGTACACACCCCAGTGGACAGCATTTTCCTGCAGACAAGGAGAGCTCATCAGTTCTTCATTCTCTTTGTCTCAGCCAGAGGTTCCTGCAACCCCCTGCGTCTTCAGATCCCAAGGCTGAGGTTTGCTTTGGTTCCTTCTACTGCTATCCTTTTAAAGATTTAAGGAAGGTTGAAGGAAAGAAAACAAAAGTTTTCTGCTCTTGTACAAGATTTTCTTGCTCAAGAGTTTTCTGCTCCTGCTTAAGGACAAAAGTGATTCTACTACAAGGGAAAACCTTAGAGCTGCTCCCTGCAGTACAAGAACTGGATGAATATTTGATTAGCCAGGCTCCTGGCCCCGCCTGAGCTCTTCCATAGGCTTAGGAAATCACAAGACTCAGCCAAGAAGAAGAAAGAGCTGGTCTATTTATGTCAATCTGTCCATAACTGGCACTTTATGGCCTTGATAAATAGTTAATCCAACATGAAAAGTTAAAATCATGAAAGCTTGTCAACTTGGGACAAAAAAATACAAAAAAAACCACAGACACAATTAAAAACAAGACAAAGATGAAACCAGTAAACAGTTAGCCATTGATGATTAGGCAGCTAGTAACTAAAGTTTTTTTTGCAATTACTAATTATAGCTTTAGGGGCCGGCCCTTGGCTTAGCGGTTAAGCGTATGCGCTCTGCTACTGGCAGCCTGGGTTCGGATCCCAGGCACGCACCGACGCACCGCTTCTCTGGCCATGCTGAGGCCGCATCCCACATACAGCAACTAGAAGGATGTGCAACTATGACATACAACTACTGGGGCTTTGGGGAGAAAAAGGGAAAAAAACCAAAAACTAATTATAGCTTTTAGCTGTTCACCCACCCACTGTTAACTGTGCTGCTCAGGCAATATACTATCTGACTCCCACTAGGTTCCTATAGACAACATCGCCCTGGCACCTGGGTCACCATGGTAAGAGATGTTTGAGCTGTTTTTCAGGAATTAGGACCCCCTTGTCCAGTTCAGGGTGGTTGAGACCACCAACCCATCAACTGGGCCTGCCCAGGTGCCCGATAAGCGACATTTTAGATGTCAATAGGCTAAAGACTCCACCCTCAGGATATGCTAATACCACCATTTTGTGAAGATGCGTCCTACAAAGAGGCATGAAGTCTGACTACACTCGCGCAGATCATCAGTTACCTTACTTCTCCTTACCACCAATCATCTATCCCCACACATCAGACCACCTTGCCCCCGACCCCATAAATATCCCTGAGTCCCCATTTTTGAGGCGGCGGATTTGGGACTTATTTCACTTCCTCACTTGGCTGCCTTGTTATTAAAACCCTCTCCCTGCTGCAATTTCATTCTTTCGGTGATTGGCTTTCTGGGCGACAGGCAAAAACAAACCTGGTTCAGTAACAAAGAAAAGACGTAAATAAGTAAAAAGGGATTCAAGTCCTGGTTTAATTAATTAGAGTCCTTGTTCCTAAGCACTATACTATCCTGTTTTTCCAAAGGAATGAATGCACAAACAGGTATTAGTAGGCCTCAGATTGTTCTTTTCCTTGCAAATCTTGGGAATCAATTTAAAAGAATCTGTTGACCAGGAGATGCACTTTTTTTTTTTTAAAGATTTTATTTATTTTCCCCCTAAAGCCCCAGTAGATAGTTGTATGTCATAGGTGCACATCCTTCTAGTTGCTGTATGTGGGACGCGGCCTCAGCATGGCTGGAGAAGCGGTGCGTCAGTGCGCGCCTGGGATCCGAACCCGGGCCGCCAGCAGCGGAGCGCACGAACCCAACCGCTAAGCCACGGGGCCGGCCCAGGAGATGCACTTTTAAAGAGCATTTCTCCCATTTTCATTGAACTTGGAATTGCAAGGTACATACTCCTAGCTACTAAAGCTACTGGCTTAGTGCACATGGGCCAATAAGGAAGCAAACTAACTCCTGGTGCCCACCAACCACTACCTTTCTCCTCAGAGAACAAGCCACCCTGCTGTTTCCCACATCCCTTCAGCTTTAGCTCCAGGAGCAACAACATACCAGGACCTCTGCTCAGCTCTTCCTTCTCCTTGACCAGCAGAAATAAAAGACACAATCAACTATGAAAATCCAGCTCTGGCCTAGCCCCCACGACCTAACTAGGTGGTTGGGGATACGACCCTTGGAGTAAAATCTTCCTTAGAAAAATCTTGCTGAGGTATGAGCACTATTTTCAGTTCAGGTTCAACTTTTCATTGAGATTCTATGTGGATAAAAAGATCTTGTGGTGCAAAGAGATAAAAAGCCGCATTTTCATCTGATTATGGGCACCCATGTGTGCCTTCCACTTCTAGTGGAAGCGCTGGGTGTTCAGAGGGGAGGGAAAATACAACTGGAATAGTGGCACGAGGGAGGCGGGGAAGGAGGAAAGAAGAGGTGAATACAGTTAACAAATTGTTGAGTGTGATCTAGCGAGCCTTCAACACCCCGACCTAACTTGCCTCCTCCACCCGGAGGAAGGAGTGTGTCTCTTCAGTCACTGGTCCACCGTCACTACTGGTGACTTACCCAGAACCAATCAGCAGGCTGCCTGTTGTACAACTCGCTGCTGATTCTCTGGGGCACTAAGCCAGCCATTGGCTGGTGTGTCACCTGGTCAAGAGCCCACTATCCTCACCCTCTTCGCCCCACCCCTAAACCCAGGGGCATGACAGATCCCCCGGATGCTCCTGCTCCGAACTCTGGATAAGGTTCATGATGCAACCCTTTCATTTCTCTCCTTTGCAACATCTTTCCAGAGAAAGAGTGAATCTAACAGCAACAACAGAGCGAGCAATGGGGCTGCGGCTGCAGATGTCACGATTCCCATCTACAGACAGTTTCAGAAGCAAAAAGTCGAATCGCTCCCGTGCACTTCAAAGGATGGAAGCAAGAAGCTAGACGGGGCTGTTTTAGGGAGCTAGAGCTAAGGGAAAAACAGTCTTGAGGGTTACATCCCATTTTAGGGTCCGAACACCCAAAGCTGTAAACTTAAGTGTTTGAAGTAGCCTCGCACTCGGGGTTCCCTGGAGCTAGAAGCAGGGGCTGCTTAGACGGAAAAAAGGGCCAGGAGAAACAAAGCAGGGAACCCGGGACTACAGCCTCTTCTCAGGGCCTGGGGTCTCCTAGTCTCACCCTCCCCACATCCACGACATCTGGACCTACGCCGACCAACCCAACTCCCAAGCCTCCGCCTACTTGGAGCCCTCCCCTGGAGCCCTCCAGGGAGCTTTCCTTTTCCTTCTTTTGAAGAACAGAGCTTCGGTAAAAATTAATGTCCCCCTGAAGACTTCTCACGAGAGGGCAATACATTTCCACAGACCTGATTTGGGGTGCAGCGATGTACAGCAGAAGGGGGAGAAGGAAGAGCAGGAGCAGGACCCCAATCATCTCGCCGGGAAGGAAGCTGCAGATGCAGGAGCGGAGCGAGAAGTCCCAGCGTGCTGGCCGACCGCGGCTTCTTTTCCCAGACACGCCCTAATAAAGGACGGCAGCCCAGAGCAAAGCCGTCTGGGAAATGTAGTCCAAAGCCTAGCGTGGACTAACCGGCGGTGAGGGTGCTGTTCCCAGGTGCTGAAAGAAGCTGAACCGTGCACCAGATGCGCAGTAGATCCCCCACCATCTAGGGTCTGGGGCCTTTGGGATCATCCAACCACCTCTCCCACAGCCCTTCTGGCCACCAGGGTTCTCGTGAAATCTTCCCTGTCCGCTATCTCCCGGTGCCAAAGTTTAGACGCTGGTTCAGTTTTCCCCGATCGTTACCGCATTGTTTCTCCTGGAGATCAAATACTGGCGTCTGGGAAATGTCGTAAGGCCGATTACACAGGAGAAGAACGGTTGGAGTCTGACAGTTGGTAAGGGAGGGGGAGGTGGGAATTCCTCCTTAGGGATTCCGTCATCCAGTCCAGCGGAAGCGATGGATCCCTGAAGCTATCCCCAGGAAAATCACTTTATTGTGTCTGTTTCGAATTATAATGGTAACTATCATAATTTTCCCGGTGTTTGAGTGTTAATTGATAATAGAATGTGGTTTTCTTGATGACTTGGGTTAATTATATTAACTCCGAGAGTAGTAATGAATTTCTCAGATTAGCACAGTTGGTTTTGCCTGCTCATGAAAGTATTTAATCCCGTCTTGAATTAAGGCCATGAAAATTCTCTGGCAAAAAGCAGGTTGCCTGTTCAGTCATTCCTTTCAGCTCTGCCATCTGAGGCCGGTATCTGGTTTCCAGGGGGTGAAGGTGGGGGATGCTTTAACAAGTCAATGTCTGTGTGTGATTCCTGCCTGCACACAGTAATGTATTCTGGTTCTTCTGGATAATTCATTTCCATTTGATGGAAAGACGTGTGTTCCAAGCTCAATGTGAACCAATATATTTTAGAGCAATTGGAGAGAAGAGGGTTTTCTTTACAGATACAAATTTCTACTGATTTAGCATTAGATTATCTAATAATCATCAGATTTTGTCACATGCTCATTATTGTCTTACCTAATATTTGTATAGGGTTTTACATCTTTATTAAAAGCCTTTCATGGCCGGCCCCGTGCCTTAGCGGTTAAATGCGTGCGCTCTGCTGCTGGCAGCCCAGGTTCGGATCTGCGGCGTGCAGCAACGCACCGCTTCTCCAGCCATGCTGAGGCGGTGTCCTACATACAGCAACCAGAAGTGCAACTATGACATGCAACTATCTACTGCGGCTTTGGGGAAAAAAGGAGGAGGATTGGAAATAGATGTTAGCTCAGAGCCAGTCTTCCTCAGCAAAAAGAGAAGGATTGGCATGGATGTTAGCTCAGGGCTGATCTTCCTCACAAAAAAAAATAAATAAACAAAAATTAAAAAAAAAAAGACTTTCACATGGTTTGTTCCTTATTTGTTCACTCATTCATTCGATGAATGTTTATGGTATTCCTACGATGCACTAGGCACTGTGCTGAGATCCATCAGGTGTTACTGCCCAAAAAGGGGGTTCGTCTGCCTGCCCCAAGACATGTCAATAGTTCAAGAGGCAAGGTGGTAGGAGAGAGAGAGCTTTATTACAGCTTGCTAGCAAGAGGGAAGATGGCCAACTCATGTCTGGAAAAGAAAACCATCTTACAGAACAAAGATTACAGACCAGTTATATAGGGCGCTGGTCTCTGGATGGAGGAGGCATCTGGTCTCTGGGTCGGGGCATCCATCTGATATCCAGGTGGGGCAGTCATCTGGTCTTAGTTCCTGATAGTCTTTGGTTTTACTTGATATGCATCAGAGACCAGAGCAACACCCTCTACCCTGATCTTTTAGTTGTCCTTGATGATAGCTATCAGCATTGACTCTCTGTTCAGGTATCAGCACATTCCTAAGGAACTCAAGAGAACAAAGTTTCAATTTATAGCAGCTGGGAAGGGCCATGAAATCCACAGAGCATGTCTGGGCTAGTTAATCAGGTCATTCAAAGTTACAAATAAGGTTTCTTTTCTACAATATGGCTTCCCTTATGTCAACCTTGTGTTGAGCCAGTATCACAGGGAGCCAGGCAGAAATGACCTCTGCTCTCTTAGAGTTCGTGGCCTGTCAGGGGAGACCTTAAACAAGGGATCACTGTGAATCAATTGTGGTGAGGCTTAGGAGGGAAAATAGAGAAAGCTTTGGGAGGTCATACCAGGCTGCCCCTCCTGGTCTGGAGATCAGGAAAGGCTTCTTGAAGGAAATAACATTTGAGCTGAGGCCTGAGGGAAGGTCAGTAGTGTTGACACAAATAATCCATAACCAATCTATAAATTAAAATTGGGGTGAGTTTATTATGAGCCAAAGTTGAGGACCATATAGCCTGGGTCCTTCCTTCCTCAAGGAAGGAAGGACACCAAAGAAGTGGGGTGCACAGAGTGGTTATATACCATCAAAGAGCCTGTATCACATATGATTGCAATGTCCCTTTTACAATAGCCAGGAGATTGTCCTGTTGGCACAGTGATTGATGGACACAGCAAGTATCAGGTCTACTGTCTCAGATGGGCATGGCAGGTAGCAGATCTGTTGTCTTGAGTTGGGTGGTCACAGGATGAGCGCAGCAATCAAATCTTAGCCTAGGGAGAAATGCTTATCCTTAAGGAAATGCCAATGTTGGGGAAGTTGCATCCTTATCTTAAGGGCATTTGTTCTTGTCTTTGGGACAAGGTAATTGCTTAAAGCAGATATATAATGCATGTTCAAAGGCCATGTCAGGCCCTTTTGGAAAAACAAGGTCAGGCTGAATTAGTTTTACACCAAATGGCTTCCTTATATACTCCAATATGTCCTATTGCTTGCCATTTATTTATCAGGAGTTAGTGGGAAAGCAACATATAAGCAAGAGTGCTCTGGGCAGAGGGAAGAGCCCACTTGAAGGCTCAGAGTAAGAGAGAGCAGGGGGTGCTAGAACAACAGAAAATATTGGTCTAGCTGAGGCATAGGGGCCAGCAGGAGGTCAGAAATGGCAATAATAGCCAGTGCTTATATAGTGCTTATTATGCACCAGGCCCTGTCCAAGTGCTTTATATATATTAACAACCTTAATTCCCATAACAACTCTATAAGGTAGGTACTATAATTTTCCCTCTTTTACAGACAAGGAAACTGAGGCAACAGCAAGGTTAAATAAGTTAGCTCAGGCCATAGCTGCAGAGCTGGGATTCAGACTTAAGCAGGTTACGGGCTGGCCTGGTGGCATAGTGGTTAAGTTTGCACGCTCCACTTCCATGGTTTGGGGGTTGCAGGTTCGGATCCCAGGCGTGGATCTGCGTACCACTCATTAAGCCATGCTGTGGCAGGCGTCCTACATAAAATAAAGGAAGACTGGCACACATGTTATCTCAGGGCCAATCTTCCTCAGCAAAAAGAGGAGGATTGGCCACAGATGTTAGCTCAGGGCTGGTCTTCCTCTCCAAAAAAAAAATAAATAAACAGACTTATGCAGGTTGTATCCAGAGTCTGTGCCCTCAACTACTGAGCCATGGTGCCAAAAGATGAGGCTGGGGATCCCCCATCTGTATGCACATTTGCACATCAACACAAATTTGCATGCAATTTCATCCATAGAACTCAGATTAAAAACCATTGGTTAAATCCGATAACTGAAGATGGGTAAGGAGATGAGTCGCTTAGAGAGGCTGTGACAGAAAGCAGAGAGGAGGGTCTTGAGGAGCACTAACATTATGGGATAGATAGAGGAAAGTGAGCCTGGAAACAGACTGTGAGAAAGGGGACAGAGAGGTTGGAGTTGTATTAGACTGGGTCCAATCAGGTTAGAGAAACCACACAGTAATTCCAACTGGGAGAATTTCACATAAAGAACTATTAACCAAAACAGGGGATTGGAGTAACGAGGAACTGGCTAGTACAGGGGTTATTAAACTTTTTCTATAAAGAAAAATAAGTATCTTAGGCTTTGGGGGCCACATGGTCTCTGTTGCAGCTACTCAACTGCGTGGTTGTAGCGTGACAGCAGCCATAGACAACATGTGAATAAATAAGCGTGGCTGTCTTCCAATAAAACTTTATTTATAAAAGCAGGCAGTGGGCTGGATTTGGCCTGTGGGCCACGGTTTGCCAACCTGCGGGCTAGTAAGAAGTAAAGAGAACTCTAAAGAAGATAAATAAAAAGAGCAGACAAAAATAAAAATATAATAGATACAATTTAAAAATTTTAATAGTAGATATAATACAAATAATACAACGCAATATATAATAGCTACTACTCTGGTCTCAAGGAAGAGACTCCTTCCACTCCCAGACAGACCCGACCTTGCTGGAGAGGTACAGGGATAGCACACTGAATGGCTGAGAAATCTCTATGGTGCTGCACTAGCGGAATTTGCTGGAAATCCACTGTTTAGAGTGCCGGGGAAAGCTATCCACAGGGAAGTGTCTTACTGGAGGCAATCTGCTCCAAAACCACCTGAGGGGGCAGAGAAGGCTGCTGGAGGAAGCTGTTGGCCACTGAATGCTGATGCCAGGCACTGGAGAAGCTGTATGGACCTCAGGATCCAAGCATGCTACAGAAGCCTGCAGAGCTAGCCGACCAGAATGAGGAAGCAAACTCCTTTCCTTCTGCAATGTCTCTGCGGTGCCCTCTATTGACACAGCTTAACATTGTTCCAGGTGGCAAAGAAAAAACTACTTCAAGAGTCTATTTCCACTTTCATGGAGCAGGCAAAGAGGGTGAATTGCAGCTGAGAGGCAATAAATCGATAACTGGCGCCAGAGGGAACCCAGAGAATGTGTTGTAATAGAATGCATTAAAAAGATGTTTCAAGACATAGGTACTTAACAATACCAAAAGCGCAATCCTAGAAGAACACGTTGAAAAGTTAGACTTCATCAAAATTAATAACTTCTGCTCTTTGAAAGATAAGACTGGGAGAAAATACTTGCAAATCACATATCTGATAAAGGATATACAGTCAGAATATATATTTTTAAAAACTCACCAAAC